ACAACATGAAGGTCAAGACTTTCAAATTCTTTTTGTTCTTAAGAGTATATCCTACTGATACATTCAAAATTGACTCAATGTTTGTGTGGTTTATCAATGTGAAGTACATTCAGGTTCATGTGTTCATATTGGATGTAAGGGATTTGTTGCTTTCATTCTTTTATCATTTTCTTTTCTGAATACACAAACATTGACATGGTTCAAAAGTCAAAGCTGTACAAAGGAATGCTCAGGGAAGCCTCCCCCAGCCCTGTCCCTTCCCCCTTTCCCGCTAACCCTTATAGATAACATTTTTACCCCATGTGCAACCATTTTTATTTGCTTTTGGTTTATCTTTCCTGTTTCTTTTTGAAAGAAATAAGATTATATATATTCACAGATCTTACACAAAAGGCAGCATACTGTATGTAATCTTTCCTGCTTTGCTTGAAAAGTACATTTTGTAACCTCATCTGCAAACACTGTGTTTTTACTTTCTGGTATCGGTGGGATGAGAGACTGTGTTAATAAAAATGTGCCGGCAGAACCATTTATTAACAACAAAAAGCGTTCCTTCTAACATCAGTTTTTAGGACTTCTCGATAAAATGAGGGGGCTGAACTAGTTGCTCTCTGAGGCCCCTAGCTGTTCTAGCAGCCTAAATTATTCTCCCAGGAAGGGCACAGTGTAAGACAGTAATAACCCTCATGTCTCGGGAACTAAATTCCTATTTACTTCTGAACACCAGCAAAATTATTTTTGTAGTTGCAAAAGTTTTCAAGGGCATGTTGAAGACCTGAAGCCTTGGGATGGGAGGCTGCGGGAAGGAGGAAAAGAGAAACAATTAACAGACCAAATGTGGTTCCACATTCCTTTATGCAAACTCAACATAGGAAAATGGAGACTTATAGAAAAGCAAAATTAGGGGGTAAATGTTTATTTTGATCAAGAAATCTTTTCTTTAGGAAAACCTTCACTTACAGGATCCTTTTAAATAGTATGTTTCTCTAGTACATTGAAAATGATTCAATCTTCAAAAACCTGAGTCACATTTTTTCCAGAAACACCCTTGTGTTTATTACGCGTCTATCTGTAGTATCTGAATGTCGATCTTTTAAAAAGTAAAAAAAGAATCATAAATCTGTTGCTGAGGACTTTGGCAGCTGAGCAGAGCGAGGAAGGGGCAAGGGAAGGAAAAACTAACCAGAAATTGGTAGGTTTTTTTTTTTTAAGGGCAGTGAGAAGGAAATTCAATATTTTTTTCTTGCTAAATCTGGAAGGTTCCATATTTTGGGCTGGTTCATAGTAATGGATGGAAAGTACTGAAATGCACCAACCTTACTTATATTACAAAGCAGGTTAAAATGCTAGATTTGAAATAAGATCACTTATCCGTTCTCAGTGATTTACGAAACCTGAGTGACATAACCCAAACAGAGCAAAAAGCATTCCAATCAGCTTCGTGGTTTTCCTAACATCTTCATAAATTCAGTGATACTTAAACATTACCTATGCGAACCGTAAAAAGACATTTCGAAGACTTTTCCTTAACATGTTAGGAATACATAGTAAATGCACACTATAAAGTACTATTTTTAAGACAGGGTTTATTTGTTACATTATAAACTTGGAAGCACATGAAACCAAGTAGCGTATACATTTTTCCCCCCTTTAAATGAGAGGCTACTTTCCATTTCCCGATACTCTCGGGGCCACAGAAAAGTGGGGCTGGTCGGTACAGCGAGACACGGGTGTCTGTTGAGACCACCGCTCTCTGGGGGGACTGGGACGGGGCTGGCAGCCAGCGTAGGGCTCCCCACGTCGGGGTTGGTCCAGGCTCTGCTGGTGTAGCCGCACATGGCTGGGGGCTTTGGTGGCTCACTGCTGTGCACAGACACAAAATGTATGCCTCCATGAGGCATGCTATAAGTGCCCGAGTTCTGTGTAAATCTAATTATTAGCATGAACTGAAGGTACTGTCATTGCTTAACTCATCCGACCTTTTAAATGGATAACCAACCTTGAGGCTTAATTGGATTTAAAAAAAATCAATTTCTAGCCATTGCATACTGTTGAAATGAAGTGCTGCATTCTCAGGCGATTGTAAACCCAGTTCTGCTCAAGACTATTTTTTATTATTTACAACTTTAAAATGGCATCATCCATCTCGGTAAGTGTTTTATGTATATACACCTTTCCTAAACAGCCACAAACATACGTGTGCGAACGCCAAGTCGCGTCACACAGGAAGCGTTCTTCTCTGCTCGGGAGCAGGCGGATTCATCGGCGGTGATCTCTTCGCACCAATTATACAAAACCTGAGCTGAGGGTAATGACATGCCACTGTTTGCAAATCTCTCGTAGCCTCAGCCGGTCTCATCTTTGTATAAGGAAAAAAATCCTCGAGGAAGCTTTTTACCAAACCACATCTTGACCATTAAATCTTTCTTGAAGAAGGTCATTTAATTTTATGGAAAGAAATGAACAATTAAGATGGCGTAGGCAGAAATAGCGCTGGTCTGGAAACCAGAAGGCCAGTGGTTCCAGGGCTAGGTGACCTGGGTGAGGCCCCCCGTGGCTTCTCCTGCCCCACAGTTGATGACAATGGAGGTCTATTACAGTGTCCTGGGTCAGAACACCGAGCTGAAACAACAACAACAACAACATTTGATTCCCTCAGCGCTTCCTCTGAGGAAAAGAGATCAAATGATGCAAACCAGAGTCCTCTGCCTCCGTGACATCTATAAAACGAGAGCGATGGCTATTGCTAATGGCGGAATTTGGATGATTAGCTACGAGCAATTATAACGTTATAGTTGACAAACAGAAAATGCTAAGCCCAGTGGTCTATTTTAACTGAGCCCGATTTAAATGTGCGTGGTGTTGAATGGAGCCTCATCGAAATGGTCCGTTTTAGCCAGATTATGGCGCCGAAGTGGAGAACCGCACAATTATCCAGCGCATTCAGGACAGTCCAGAGAGCTAATTTGGACAATTGGACAAATGATTATTTTCTTTTGCCTCAATTGACCAGATAATTGTGCACAAGTCTCTGCCATTTGACTCTGTGGAATGTGTCTTTGTGTAGTAAGAAAACCCAGACGTCTGACCCAGGGTGGTGTGGAGTTGGGGACAAGATGCCCACAGCTGACGCCCACCATCTAACTCTTGAGTCTTAAATCGGAAACATTTTCATACGAGCTGAAAATCTCCGCATGCCACCTGGGCCCCCATTAGTTGATTCTAATACCTGCCCTTTTGGAGGAGGTTGTTTTCCCTCAGTTTCAAAATGGAGTTAAACAAAAACATCAGGCAACAAGGTTAGAGGTGGCATCTGGGTGGTCAAAAAATTTGGAAAGGAAATTAGCTTTTAAGGGCTAATGTACCCAAAGATGTACAATTTTAGGCACACATTTATATGCATGCACCGTTCTCAATTCTGAAATACAGCTAACATCAGATCTGTTAACCAAGTCTGCCCACCTAAATCTTAGAAGAGATGGAAAGTTACCATAACTACTCAGTGAATTAGAACCACTGAGAAGCAGGAATTCTTGGTGTTGACCTGTCTTCCCCACACCCAACCACTGATCATCCCCTTCTGTGAAAGTTCTCTCCATATGGTTCCCATGTTTGACTAAAGTAAGGGATCCTAATGATCAAAATTAAGGCAGCATGTAGAATAACATGCTGTCCTATTAAATTCAGATACAAGCTGTGCCGAGCTAGGTAAGTTGTCTCGCTGTGGTACACAGCTATGGCAGACAGGCCAGGAAGAATCCTAGATTGCTCAAATCTTTGGTTATGATCAGACTTCTTAAAGGATGTTCACTAAAATTAGCAGAGCAAATCTGTATCCAGCCTGTTTTCCTACAGTCAAGGTAAGCATTCAAAGGGACACGGAAAGGTCCACCACTTCCAGGTCTCCAGGCAAGTCACACCTCCAGGCCAGGGTCTGAGTCATCGTGGCTCCTCACTCAGCGGCGACGTCTCCCGCTGGATCCGCACACTCTTGTGGCGCCATTTCATGACTGGGCCACCAAAGACTCAGTTGGGAACATAACCCAAGAGGTTACCAATCAAGAACTGCACATACTGTACAGTTCACATGTGTGTTGCACCCTCACGCAGGCAGTCCCCCTCAGGACGAGGGACTTCTTCAGTATTAATATTACCACTGCTCAGAATGTTCTTGAGCCCTACGGCAAACATCTATCCTTTGAGGGTGGTGGATTAATTCTTGGATAGAGCCAATAGTTGATGTGCAAGTTGGGGAGATGCATTTTGAGTCAAAAAACAAGGCAAGAGCACAACAGGAGGAAGCTGCTGCTTTTGTGTGGTTTGTCAATAGGCTTTGAGAACTGCCACGAGCAACGGTAGCATCTCAAGACTAAATGCCTGACGTGCAACGGGACTACCTGGAACAACTCCTGTTTTTGTATGCATCACCTCTGTGGTTTAGCTAAATAAAATATATACTCCCATCACGCCTCGATGACCGTATCAGCCACCAGGTGTACATATGTGAAAGCCAAGCATCATGACAAACGGCTGGCCCAGTCTTTGAGGAGGACCCCCACACCCCCCACACACATTTGAGGGGAAACGCAGTGTTGGCTTTGTGTTCAACTGGCAAACACTATCCCTAAAGTTTTTGGTGTAATAGGACAGGAAACACTCAAAGTCATTCAGAAAGTCAAGTCTCCTGCAGCCTGTGTGTAAGAATTATTAATACTTCTCAACACAGCACCAGCAGCTTTATGTCAAGATTTTCAAATGTTTCTTGGTATGTTTTCATAAGAAAAATAATTATCTGCCTTTTAGGCAGTTTCCCTTTTTGTATATTGGATAGCAAATAGACGGGTCCCTGTGAAAGTGTCCACTAGACAGATCAACTTTCAGACAGAGACACCCTCAGGCACAAAACAAGCATTCATTGGCCCAAAAGATCACAAAATTGGTTGGGACCTCCCCTAACACAATGCATCCGAAGTTAAAATTAATACTAGGATTGCAGGATGTTCTTTAATCTGTATGATTGCTTTATTGTACAAAAAATTTCCAGTAACAGTAAATTAGTTTTAAAAATGGACAAAAAAAGTCATTTTGGATAGAAGCGCTTCACTAATTGCTTTATTTAATCATACAAGAAAAAAAGTCTTAATCTGACCAATTAGGTTGGAAGGGTTTTATTACCTTTAAGAAGCCATTAGCTAGGATAAAACACTGAAAGCACTTGTGTCAAAACAAATAAATAATGCTCTCTCAATTAGCAGAGAAAGCAGTAAATCTGTTAAATTAGAGACACACACTGCTTCACACGGCATGGCCCAGCCAGCACCACCAACTCCCAAAATGAACAAACAAGAGACAGCAGTTTTCAGTTACAAATCTCAGGAAAGATCGGGAGCTTTGGAGAACAGAGGGTAAACGTTTCTGTTTTGCCTCCCAGCTCCGCTCAAGCAGAGCCACCCCAGGACACTTTAAAGGGGGCACGTGTCCAGAAGGACCCTTCCCAGATGGGCCTCTTCCCCAGGGCGCATCCCAGGCCAGGGAGAAACTGGACTGGGCAATCATGACCTCCACAGCCCAACAGGGACCAGAAGAGCACAACACGCCCGTGGATAATGGCTGTTGGCAGGGAAAGGAGTCCACCTTGTTCAGAGGAAAACAAACCCTGAGGTACCAGGACATGATTATTTTCTCTTACCTCCTCAAATGCTACCGATCTTTCCCCAAGTACAGGCTCAAAAGAAAAATACAGTGGTTTGAGGACCCCAGCAAGTCAGTACCCAGGCTCTGGGGCCAGCTCTAGGCTGTGTCTGTTCGTTTCCTGCCCAGGGATACCAGTCATCGCAGCAGACAGCTTTAGCTGGGACTGCACTGCCTTTAGGCAGAATGAGGCAGTTCCCTCATCCCAACATGAGATCCTTAAGATAGTTTCTAATCAGATCCATCATTCTACCCAAATGGGGTGGGGGACAAAAACCGACTCTAATCACCCTATTCGATGAAAATAAATATAAATAAACGGTGATCCTTTCTTAAAGGGTCACTTCCCTTCAAGGGCAAGACTCAGCGTTTTGAAAAGCTTTAATAAGAATCCAGTATTACCCCTGTAGACTGTTTTTGAGGCAATTCCCCCAAGCTGTACAGCCCCATTCCCAAGCAGCAGGTCTAACTACCCACGGTTAAAGTCTGCTGAGACTAAAGGATGCCCACAGTGACCTCAGGATTGAAGCCCCCCGTTTCAGAGGTGACTGAGTCGTCACTGGGTTCTTATTCTCTGACCCTCTTTCCTAAGAGATGTTTGTCAGGGAGTACCACGCTGTTTCCTGAACTGACACCGTCAGGTCATTGTCATTCTACAGCCACACTGGCAGGAAGAAAACCAGCGGCTGTCTGGAGGCATCGACTTGGGAAGGGAAGGCTGGGGCGGGGGTTTGAGTGTTAAGCCCATGACCTGTTTGGACAACTTGAATCTCTGGACTTGAGTTTAGATTTCCAGAAACAACCTCAAAGTCAATTCTAGAGAAACATTTTACGTGACTGGTCCAAATAAAACGTAACACATTTAATGAGGTCATGCTCTTCTTAAACTTTTAAAGGAAGCAAAAACAATGGAAAAGCTATCAAAAATTACACAAAGACCATTCAAACTATACTGGTGTCAAAACAAGGCCAATAAAACATAAACAACTTCGGTTTTTAAAGTTACCACTTTCCACATTATTCTACGGTTCCAGCAATATATTCAAGCACCATATTGATAATAGGCAGGTAAATGACAAAAGTCCTGATCCACATTCACACAAACATGGCGTTTCCTAGTCAGGATTTCCACAACCCTCGGGAATATGGCTACTTTCTGGGCATTGCTAAGTGGCAATGGAAGAGCCAATAGATCAAGTCAATGGCAGAATATTTTACTTTGAAATGGAGTGATGTTTGGTTAATAATTTGAGATCCACTAATCCTAAATGGGGTGACCCATTTAAAATGGCCTCTGTGTAAATTCACAGTTCATTAAATGGAGTCTGGTTTGAACAGGTCATTATGTAGTTAGCATATAAGTAATGGGCTGAGTAGGATGGCTGGGGATACCCAGGGGCACACTGGCTTAATCTGGTGACTTTCATGAAACTGTCAAGCTTCCTTTAATGTGAGGTTCATTCAAATCACCAACTTTTAAATTTAGGTGGTTTTGCTTAGTAAACCCTTTTGGTTTACAGAAAATGCAGTGCAAAAATTTTAAATGAGGAATATTCCACTTAAAATTAATTTAAACTTATGAAGCTGTTTTAACTGGCCCATCTAAATGTGTTAATTAACATCAATGATGGTTTCTTATTTTTCACACTTTGTTACTCTGATCATTAACAGTGATGGAAAAGCTAAATTAAGTTAATGGGGAACGGATTATAAATTCTTAAAGGACTTCTTAGTTTGTTTTCAACTGGAAAATACACAGAGAAAGATGAAGAGGCATTTTTGCCTCTACTCATAAATTTTTGGTACCAAATTTCTTAAAAACCAGATGGTTTTAAAAAAATTTTTCCAAAAATCATTTTAACATGCTGCTCAGACATGACTGCTAAAAAAATAGCATATAGACATATAATACTGAACAGCTTCTACAGTGCCTGTAAACTTTCAATTCATTTTCTCTTCCTAAAAAAAATATATATTAAAGCTGATCATAGAACTCAACCTCTATTCTGCAACAGTACCAAAGGTCCTTAAATTCTCAACAAAGAAGGAAAAACGGAAGCCCATTCCCCTTGCTTGAGCAGGACTGTGAAGAGGGGTCCATGGAAAGGTCCTCTGCCCCGATGCCTGAGAGTCCTTCGTGGCTGCACCTCTGCAGGCAGCTGGCGGGACCTCTCACGCCCGGGACACCCATACATGCGGCACACATGAGAACCCAATGCCACTTAGCGAGACTTCACGCCGACGAGGACAACAATGAGGACAATGATGATGACAAATAATATTAAAATCACAAGCATCTTCCGATTCTTCTTTTGATACTGTTCTGCCTACAAAGAGAGAAAGGAAAAAAGGCAGTCATTTTCGCAAAAATACCAAATCAAGTCTCACTCATTTATAGTTTGAGGCTTCTGGACTTATCTGCACAGTAACTGACATCTCTGCTACAAGCTACGCAATTATAGTCCCTCCATGAATTCAAGAGAATCCAATCACCGTGAGTAGAAGAGTTCCAGGATTCTGGAGCTGCCTATTTAGCTTGGACTTAGGAATGAACTTGTTGGAAATCCACCGTTAAAACAAAGGCCGACAGAGGAGTCAAAGATTATGCTTCCAGATCAAGGGGGAACTGTGTTCCCCCTACTTCTACTCCCACAGACTGTCGTGACCCACCCTTGCAACGACAGCCACCTATTGCTGGGCACCATTCCTTGAATGAACGCAGTCTCTTTCACTACGAAATGAAACCGTCTAGAGTTACCGTATCAGTAGGTATGGAACAGATAGTCCCAAAGAGGCCCATTTTCTACCTCCCCTACATTTGGAAACAAGAACAAAACTCATCCTTTCAAATAAAAGCAGGTACATGTGCCCCATCAGTGTGATATGCAGAAAGAATACAACTGTGGCAAGTCCTCCCAGCATTAATAATGACACAACAGAGGAGCTTCCAAAGCTCAACCTGGGGACAAGGCCCCACCCAAACACTGCACCCTGGAAGCTTGGTGGGAGCACCAGGAATTCCATCACACCTGTGGTGAAAACATGCCTAAGTGCTCCCACATTGCTGGTGATGGACACAGAACACTAAGAAAGGAGGGCTGGGGAAGAGGAGAGTTGCAGGGTGTCCCTAAGCACGCCCGGGGGCAGCAAGCCCTGCCCTGCTATGGATGCTGCTATTGTAGACAGCTGAACGTCAAGACCTGGCAAGAATAACCCGTCTCTCCTGTTCTAGCTCCACGACCCCCAGCCTTCTGACTGGTAGGTTTGTTTCTTGTATGAGTCTACCTGCCCACCTGGAGGAGCCCCCCCATCAGCCAGGAGGAAACGTCAGGACAGGTAAGGCCATCTTGAGAGTCTGGTCAACGTGAGCAACTCCCAAGGCTCGGTCACCCTTAGAGGAGCCCGCTGCCAAGGAGACGGCCAGCTGTGCTACCAACAGCAGTGGGACTTGAGAGAGAAACGGCGCATGCTTACTTTTCTAATAAGTAACTCAGAACACTAGGGAGGCCAATACTAAATAATATACTTTGAAACCTCTCAAAATGATTTATAAAGTAGAATCTAAAACAAAATTTTTAGTTCCCACTAGATTTGTTCACTCCTGCAGAGAAAGCTTTTCCCTTTATCTGTGTTATATTACAAAACGTGTTTCACTAGTTTTTATTTAGGAAACTTCAAAACCAATGCATAATTCAGCAGCATATCAAAACCTGGGCATTATAGAGTGAGAAACTAAAGTTAGTTTTCATTTTAATATACAGAGCTTGGCAAACAAGTTAATCTAAATGCTTAAAAACCCTGTGCAGACACAGGGTAAGACTTCTCTTCCCCATCATGATGGAGTCTCATTCCCACTAGGCACGTGGCAACAAGCCCGCTGAAAAGACAGTTAAGGGTTTCTGGTCAGACTTGTGCAAGGTCTGACTTTTTGTAAACCTGATACTATTATTAGATGGGGCTATCTCTGCTATGGGAAGTGACTGGTTTCAGAAAAATAGCAGAGTAGAACATTAGTGAATTGGAAAAATGCTCATTATATGGCTAGAAACACCACTGGGTCTCAAAGATACAAAGAAATGGACATAATTTATTTTATTTGTGAAGCATTATTATATTCCTTTTAAAGAAAATATGTACCCAGTTAGTTACATATGAGAGCCACTCAGCAGTTTATGCATATGTTTCTCATAACTGATTACAAGATTTCTAAGATGCTTCCCAACTATTTTTTAAAAAGAAATGAACAAATATCATGAAAACATCCCTGAAATAGCCACCTTATTGGCGAAGAATAAGAGAGCGTCTACTCTCACTTCAACCAATTTCTCTTCTCTCAAGGTAATACACAGATATGGTGTGGTAATTAAAGAGAGAATTAGATTTTTATCTTCTCCAGAATGATTCTCTACTAGCAATTCATCAGAAATGTGTCACGACAAGAGACGCCTGAGTCAGCAGCAACAAGCAGACAGATTTTTCAACATATATTTTAGCAAATGCCCATTCAATTGATTTCCTAAAACAAGAAGACTCAGAAAGGATGAAATATTTTCTAAAAGGACGAAAACCCCAAGCCCTTTAGAGTTTAGTGTTACGAATGGGAGTTCTCAGAAATTCAGACCTAAGTGTGAGGTACACTTACAATCTCTAACTGCAGTAAAACGGCAACAGCCCACACAGTCAGCTTTAAATAAAATGACGTACATTTTCACACTACTGTATTGAGTTGTGTAAACAAGGATGCTGAAGACAGTTACGATAGAGGAGAACTGTCTTATGAATTCTTGATATTTGATAAAGTTCCTAAAATTCTCAACTATGGAAAGATATGTTATTACCTTGTGAAGCTGTTTCAAGCCATCTTCGGTTTTGATACAGGACTGTTCAACATTATAGTCAATCCTATCAAGGACTGTACCCTGGGTAATAAGTGACAGTTATAGACAATCAACAACCGCAACTGGGAAAACTGAACTTCAAAAACGAGATATGCAAATTATAGACATCACCATCCACGGGATTATCTGTTTTACTTAACTGTGTCATAATGGTGCACACTGAGCCTCTGGAACCCGTCCTCGAGCAGTATTAGGCACTCAATGGCAGAGTGTTGTGTTCGTTGCAATAAAGTCTAGCTCATGAGAAAGAAATACTGACAAACTGAGGTTTCTTTTTTGGATTTAGCCCCTATAGGATATGCCATATTCAGACTTACTGGGGCTTTAAAAAATATACGGTTCAGTGGAAATAGCTCTGAATGACAAAGGGCTAGCCTCTGTGCCCATTTGCTGCTTACTACTTGGATTCAAGTAAGCAGAGAATGGCAGCTAAGCTCATCCCAGTTATGATCAGACCTGCAAATTGACTATCATGTCTGTAAACGTGAACACGGGTCTCCATGGGTTACAGCAGAGAACACTAAACTCCAATCCACCATCTAAAATTAAAAATTTGGCCTCAGGAGAATTTTTTAATTGTTTAATCTCTTAGTTCAAATAGGAAGAAAGGAACACTAGGCTATAAGGAAGAACAGGGCTTTTATTGGAAACATGCTAGATTAGAAGAGATAGCAGTTCATGGGGAACCGCTGGAGTAATTAATGTAACTGGATCTTCATGGCCTGAACACTCCATTCTGCAGTTGGTTTCAAGGGATTGGGACCCAAATCCCTGCTGGCAAGATAATAAAATGCCCTAATCAGATTTTAACAGTGAACAACAATTTAATTCTCCTTGAAAGCTAGTGGTTCCAATCGCCATTACAAGATAACCTGCCAAAATTAGAAGGGAAATCTTATATATTGCCAGAACACTGCTGAACTTGGTCAGAATCAACCAGGACTCCAAAGTAGGGAGCTCACATGAATGCCCTTGGGGCATGGGCAGAGAATATTAGAACAACTTCTTATTTTTTATCTAAAAAAAGATTTATTAATATTTTTACAGGGAAAGACAATGCCTATATATGCTATACATAGTACAGTATATAACTGGTAAATACATAAACATACTGGTTGAGTACCCCTTATCTGAAATGCTTGAGACCAGAAGTGTTTCGGATTTTTCCAGATTTTGGAATATTTGCATATACATAATTAGATATTTTGGGGATGGGACCAAAGTCTAAACACGAAAGTCATTTATGTTTCCTATACACTTTATACACATAACCTGAAGGTAATTTTATCCAATATTTTTAATAATTTTGTGCATAAAACAAAGTTTTGACTACAACCTGCCACATGGGATCAGGTGTGGAATTTTCCACTTGTGTCATCATGTCAGCACTCAAAAAATTTCAGATTTTGAAACATTTTAGATTTTTAGATTAGGGACACAACCTGCATATACATTTATTTGTACACACAAAAGTGTGCACATACTCACACACACATTGGAGGAACAGTCTTAATTTTTTTTTCCTGAAAGGTGTACAGGATCAAAGAATTTGGAAAAGGACCAGATATTACAGTAAGAAAACCCATTGATGAGGAAGCTCACATACCTGTTCTACAATCATCGCTCCTAAGTCCCTAAATATTTCATTCAAGTCAGAAATGGACTGCACGATCTGGCGAATCTCTCGCTCCCTCTCTTCCACCATCAGTGTATTCTGCTCCACAAGCACTAACTGGTCATCTGTAAAACCCTAGCAAAACAACAGTGCAGAATTTGTAGGTTAGATGTTTTTCCCTCTCAGGAAAGCTATGGTATACCAGTTTAGATATAATCTGAAGAAAACAAATTCTGACAATATTTCTTTAAAGCATATAAACCATAAATTAGCACTTATTTTTTCCTAACAAGAAAGATCCAAATCCCCCAAACTAGCAGGATCTAAGGCACGTGTCCCCGCAAAGTGGGGGACACAGAGTGAAGTCCATGTCTGCAGTTCTGCAAAGACAGAGGAATAAAACCTCCGGGTATGACCCTAAGCCTCTCTGGGTTCTTCCCAGGAAAGTGGGGTACAGAGAACTTTCCTGAAGGTTCTGGAAAGCAGATAACAAGGTTTTCCTGTGGCCTTTGGAAAGGAAGAAACAGTATGGCCATTCTACCTGCTGCAAAAACTACTTGATGGATATACAAGCTAGCATCACTGGTCCATTTGCATTGCACAGAAGTTAGAGGTCTAGGAAGAGAAGGAAACAGAATGGAGCATAAATGGACAGCAGTCAACTCTGCAGCCTCTTCACATACCCGATCGTAAAGAGTATTATCGTCTCCATCATCCATTAGTGGTACTGATGTATCAAAAAAATGCTGGGATCGTTCCTCTCGATTCTTCATGCCTATCACAGATAGGAATTCACTTTACTTGAATATGTAAATCATCCTAGTTATTGTTCTACGATTAAAAAGGGGAAATCTAGAGTAAACTCAACAGTCGAAATGGAGATATTCGCAGCAGATTTAAAGAAGCCTATCTCCAATGGTGGTGGGAGGAGAGTGCAGGATTATAAACATAATAATAGAACAATATGCAAGCATTTGGGATTATTCAAGACAAAGTCACACTGTAAATGTGTACAATTCACATGATGCCAAGACAAAAATGGCATAACCATCTGAGAATCTCTAAGTGAAGCAGAAATATTTAACCTAACTGCTGTTACAAAACATTTTTTTAAAAAATCAATATTTCTCTCTAGAACCATCTCTAATAAGAATTCTAAATGGCTCTAATCAAATTTTAGAAGTAATAAAATTAAAATACAAATGTGCCTGTTGCCAGAGGGAGGGAGAACTAAGGTTTCTTTGGGGTATGGGAGGACTTTATTGATTACAGTGGCAATAGGAAAACCCAGTTTACAGGGCACTAAGAGTGAGGACACAGCTTAAATTTGGCTTTGCACCATTTTGGAAAAGGTCTCTCGAATAAATGAGGGGTGCCAGCAGCGGAAGTGTTTAAAATACTCCCAGGAAGGTTTCTCAGGTATACTCAAATACTTTTATTGTCATGCAAACATGTGGCTTTAAGTGATAAAAAACCGTTTTTTACATACTTCTTTCGGAGCAGCTCCCTCAAACCCCAACATTTAGAAAACAACAGATTTTTAAAATGTGCTAGATTGATTTCCAAATTCTTCTAGCCAGACAGGAAATAAACTTTATGTGCTTAGATGTGAACTATTTTGGAGCCTTTACCAGCCTGGGTCTGTATCTGGAGCTGTGCCTTCACTTCACATGGGGAGGAGGCTTCCACTGCTTGTACAAGGTGTGAAAGTGCTCAAAAGCCAACAGGGAAGGTACAAGGCTATGTGGAAAAACAGTAGCAAAGAAGGAGCAAAGAAAACAAAGTTTGTTTCTTACTCAAATCCCCTAACGCAGCCTGGGCAGCACTCACGTTTGAGGTAGTCCGACTGTGCGTGCCGGAAGCTGGTGGACAGCTCCTGCAGCACCTGGGCCAGGGAGGCCACCACATTCCGAAGCAGCCTCTCCTCCTGATCAGAGCAGGTCCTACGGGCCCGGCTGGGCAGGGCCTGCACAGCTCGCTGGCATCTGTGGAAGAGCTAAGAGAACAAGCCCAAGGCTCAAGGAAAGCCTGGGGGAGAAGCCCCTTGGCTAAGGCTTCCACCATTCACAAGTCAGAAGTGACAAGTGAAATGCTCTGTTCCTACAGGCTGGCTTAGAGAAAGGTGAACAGATACAAGTAATCTCAAGGCTTAATTTATATATACAGAAAAATTTAACTAGATTTCAACTCCTGGTGTGCAATGCCTGCTGTGTGCCTGGCACCGCACGTATCATCAGGCTATGCAGGTTGAGTATCCCTTATCCAAAATGCTTGGGACTGGAAGTGTTTCAGATTTCAATTTGGGGATTTTGGAATATTTGCAGAATACCTCTAGTTGAGCATCACTAATCTGAAAATCTGAAATCTGAAATGCTCCAACAAGCATTTCCTTTGATCATCATGTTGGTTGGTGCTCAAAAAAGTTTCAGATTTTGGAAGATTTTGGATTTTCAGATTAGGGATGCTCAACCTATATTATCATATGTCACTGCATTATTGCCTTCTCATTTAATCCCTATAGGCATCCTATGAGGCAGATAATATTATTATTATTATTTCCATTTTACAGATAAGAACACTAGAGTCAGAGGAAGTAAATGAGAATCATGCCATTATCACAGTGCTAAGGGCCAGGGTTCAAACATTCTAACACTTTAGGGCTTTTAACATCACACTCCTTCTCTGACAATTAGGACCCAGGAGACTTAAACAAATAAAAAATGTAAATTCTAAAGTTTAAACACCAGTTGTGTTATCTAAAAATTAGTTAAATTTAACACTTTATAAGACATTCTTCCAGGATACTCAGTTTCTTTTCACTTATGAGCACTATATTTTAGCATAAAAAATTTTAAGCACTAGTATATGACAGAAGTTATACATTTTAAAATCAAATGATTAAACTTAGTAATGCTCTGAATTCGATTTTCATTTAACATTCTACAGTAGTATCTTGAAAAATCACACCCATACCTCTAAAACAGCCCATGTACCTACGCTGAGATTTAGAGGACCTCAGGGCCTCTGGAAAACCCTGTGAAAACTTCAGGTTGGGAAGTGAACTCTAGGAAACTGATTTGCCAACTGATTTAGAAGAACACTTCACAGCTTTTAGGACTGCCAGGAGAAGGCTTTGCTGGTTTCCCCAGACTCACTTGCATATCCTCACCTGCGTGATCTCCTGGGTGGTTATTTCGATGGCGTGCTCCTCCTCACTGCTGTCGTCCAGGGTGGGTCTGTTTAAATGCTTGTCATGAAGACTGGCTAATTCTTTCATCTTCTGTTTAATCCGGCCAACATCGTACTGTATCTAAACAAATGAAGTCACCAGAACTCCACTGATGCCTGGCAGGTATCTGTCTGTCTCCCAATTAGCTACACTCAGAATATAGAGTTTGGTCTTCAGTAAACTTGGTTTGCTAATGTGTGAGCAACTTTTAATTCAAGTTATCAGAAAATCGAATACCATTCTTCCTTGCGTGGTTTTTCTTCCTATAATTCAGGTAGTTACTACTATTAAAATTAAAGCCAAAATCATTAACACACACACAACTTTTTCTTGTGATAAAATGAATAAACCTAAAGTATTTCTAGGAACACATATTTAAGCATAGCCAAATCAGTTTATATGGCAGGTAACTTTCTTTTAAAAATTTTTTTCTTATTAGTCAAGTGCAGTAGTGAGAAAGAGAGAAAGAGTGGAACAAGGATTTGATCTGGAACGAACTGTCAACACCTGACAGCAGTAACTCATTACCTTCGGACCAGCCTATATGGCAGATATCTTAATATGTTGTCATAATTACCCAAAAGATAAGACATTGTGAAACTAACATTCAACTTACTTCATCCACTCCATCTACCCATTTAGGAGGGGACCGTTTTGTCACACCAATTGCTGCTTCTGGATCTAAGCTGATGCCCGACACCAGTGCCATACGGTCATCAGCAAGCTACAAGGAAAGAAAGAGATGTGAAAAGAATTATTCGAGTTCAGTTTAGATAAGCATATTCTTCCTTCCGTTTAAATGCTGCTCCCTAAAAAGATACAGAAACGTAGGAGTAAATGCACTTGCCTGTATTATGAACTTGCTTTTGATACTGCTAGGATTTGGAATTGTTTTCCTATCTTTTTCATGCACCAGTTCTTAATTTCCTTGGACATACTTGAGAACATGAATTTGACTTGATCTGGCTATAGAAATGTAATGAAAAAGTCAACAAAAAATCCTTAAAAGAAATACCTCTTAGCACTAGCACTATGATAGAAAGGCACGAATCTAAACAATTAATGTGATCAGACACAAGTCAAAAAAAAAAATATACTAGGCTGTAAGTGGAACTAATATAAAATTAGTAGCAAGGTTTACTTACATACACTTAGCATATTTTAGAAATAGTGCTAATCCAGTTATCTCAGTCACAGGATCATTAACCATGTGCTAAAATGTGTGAAACAACTGCCTAAAATGGTTAGCAAAATATCTACCGTTCGGCAAAAGCAATCCTTAAAATCTCAATGCAATCTTACATTGCCAGTTCTTTTCTTTAGTTAAATGTCCACAGGCAACATTTTCCCTTATTTTGAAATGGTATCGATAGTTCTTGTTTATTTTAACCATATAACACACTGCCTTAGAAAGCTTTTAAGAATGGGGGGGAAACCACAGGTTTGGCATGGTTAAGCTGTTTTCTTGCCTGGAGGCAGTGAGCAGTGAACAGTGAACGGGGGCTGAAAGGCTCTTGAGCAGCTCTCTGAAGCTCAGAGTTTTTAAATGCCGGTTTCAAAAGATCCAAATGATGATCAAAATGTAATGGAAAATAGTCTATAAAAGTCCTTTATAGATAATACTTTGTAGATTTTCTAAATCACACTGTAGGACTAGGTGAAGAATTTATATTGCTTTTCTTCCCTCTTCCCTGCATTTATCTAAATTAATTTTTTCATTCATTCAGTAAATACTTATTTGCTTTTCTAACAATAAAGGAACAGGACAAAATTTAAAAATCCAAAGATGAAGGGGAAAAAATATCATATAAGGAAAAACCTAGATTAAAAGAACTCTTTAAGTAATAGGTCCTAAATCCCCAACAGAGAGTGCATAGAAAAATTCCTAAAAGCAAATTGGTGTCTTCACCATCAACCTCCCTGCACCCCTGGTGTGGTCCTGCCTCCATCTGCTTCGGGCATTCTGTGTATACCTGGGCACGTGTCCACACAAGGAATGCATTTCATGCAACAACCACACTCCAGGGACCAGGCCCATTAACTGCTCCCAGAGTATCTGTGAACCACGACTAAGTCCACTGGTGTTCGACTGCCGCGTGGACACTGGCAGGCCCAGTGTCATTTTGGTTCTTAAACAAATGGTGTGTCATCCAAACTAGTGTTATCTAGGGCTCTGAGTCCCTGAAGTAGTAATTCTCAACCACCACCAGGTTTTGTTTGGCTAATAGAAATTTTATACTTTTTTTATTATTTTAATCCTTATAAAAACTAGGCAAACCAGGAACTATTACTCCGACCTATAAATATGGTAAATGAAACTCAGAAAAGTTAAGTAGCTTGCCCAAGGTCACAGAACTATTATGTGACAGATTAAAACCTGGGTCAACTGATTCCAGAAGCCCCTTCCACCCTAGAAGTTGCCAATCCCTTTGGCAGGCCCATGAAATATAACTGTAATTTGCTAAGAAAATCAATCAGGACAACAAGCCATCAGATTAATACAACAACAAAACACAGTATTTTGATTCATTTCCCATCAACTGAACCAGGGACTACAGGATAGACTCCCACCAAGCACATAAGAGTCCGTAAAAGTCGGCCTCTCTCACTGACCATCCGTGGACACAGAGGAGATGCAGACCTCACCCTATACAGAGCAGGCACAGAAGGGGCATGCTTAGTTGATCAGAGGCATATTTGTTTATTCACCAACACTCTTGCTCCAAAGTCACAAGAGGTACTTTTTTTCGTGGGGGACAAACTGACTACGGCAGAGGGACAAACCACACGCCCAGCCCCCAGCATCCTGTCAGCTGTACAGCAGGTGCTGGACATAGAACTATTGCTGGACTGGTGCAGAACTTGAACGTAAAGCTCCAATTGTTTACACAAAGCAAAACTTAGACCTGCTAAAGTACCTCTTCATGAGTCATAGAATTTCCGCTATGCCAGTTTATTATCTAATCCTCTATTTTTATTATTATAGCGTATTTCAATAGAGTAATGATAATTTGTTTTATTTATAGTGATTGTATAGTTTTTAAACTCATGATCTTATTTTGTACTGTTTTTACTGTTTACAAATATGCATTAAACTAAAAAAGATGCACAGAGATGGCATCTCTCCAAATTTACCTGCATTGTGATTAATATCATTTTATTCAAAACAAATAAGAAAATTATAAACCATACATGAAAAGTCAACTGAAGTGGATTCAACCCTCTGAAGCAGTACTTAATTTTATATAATAGATGTGTTCCCCTAAAATTAGATATAAATCAAAGTTGGGGAGAATACACTTAAGGGTCCCGAGGAAGCTTGCCAAATAAGAGATCCCTACAAGACCAGGACAGATGCCAGCCCACCCAGCTGGTACTAGCTTTCCCACACATGGTATCAGGATTTTGCCAATAAGATAGAACAGCTGATTCTTTGGGAATGCAAACTTTAAATAGCAAATAATTTGTCCGCTTTATGATCTAGTCTATAGCTATAGCTCATCATGATAAACAAACGCTGCCCTAACAGAGAAATGTGTCATTTCTTTTATTGGTATGGATTTGTAATATGTATCATAGTATGCACTATTAAAAAAGAAGACAGTATGTTTTGGGAAGGGAAAACACAATTGAAGATAAATATCAACTATTTGAAATGAGAACAAATATGAAGAACAAAAAAATTTTAAGTGAAAAATAATCACCCTTTCAAATTCAGAAACCTCACTTCCCATTTAAAAACAGTTCTTTTCTTATTTGTTGAAAATCCAGCATATACATCAATTTTCAAGTTGCCATCCTATTTCATACGGATCTTTAAAAACTGCCAGATTCCTAATTCTCTTTACTTATCCTTGCTGAATTTTAACTCGGTCTCCCACCAAATGTGTGATATTGATTATTAAAGCTTTTTAAAAATGAACTTGTGCTTCTGAAGTAAAAAATTCTTTTCATATTTTTTAAATAAGAAAATTTTAGAAATAAAAACTGTACTTATGAGAATTAAGAATTTAAGAATTCTTATCTTTGATTTGTAGTTCTGCCCTCCAAGAACTACAGGGGTATACTACCCTAACCCAGAGTCATCAATCCAGGGAAATGCAGAAAAATTCCAATAGATGCTAAAAATAAATAGCACACCCAAATGGCGTGCTGGCCAGTCACACTCAAGTTATCTTTTGCCCTTGATCCACTTCAGACGTTGACATATGTCCCTGTAAAGAGTGCCGGACAGTATGGACAAATCCTTGATCTATGGAGGGAACACACTCTCTTATAAATCTTACTGTTCCAAATATACAGCACTCCTTTCTTTAAAAACCCTGCCTTTATGTGAAAGCTGATTTAGAGTACTGTAAGAATAAAGAAATAGGAAAGCCTCTGTAGAGACTGGAAAAGTCAGATACACCTCCTCCCCATCAAAAAAAATAAACAAAGTTTAGCCATAATGCATTGGTGATGAGAACAATACAATTCTGGACTGTCTCTGGCAATGAACATTCAAAAAGTCCAGAAGGGACCTTGAAAATAACAGCCTGGCAACTCGGCTTCCATGTGAGGCTCTGGGAGCGTGTATGATGAAGTCAGACCACAAGCGTAACTTTCTGGGCTCAGAAGGCTCACTACTTCACTAATAGACAATTAAGTTTAGGAAATCTGAGTGCTTGGAAGAGTAATAAGCCTGTGGATAAAAGAAAATCGGGGATGTCAGCACTACATTTTTTTAAACCTGTGATAATTTTAAAATAATGCTTACTTTTTATGATTATGAAATTAATAAATGTTCAAGATATTTTTTAAACTGTACAAAAAATATAGAAATAAAAAAACCTGAGAATCACACCATCCTGATATTAATGTTGTTAGTTTCACTATTTTTTCCTTTTTTCACAACTAATATATACATGCTTGGAAAAAAAAAAAAAAAAGTAGGGAACATTATGTAATTACCTGTCTTCTGTCAGTACCGTACTAAGCACCTCTACTGACTTGATCTTTTTCAGTCCCACAACAACCCTTCAGGGGCTGCCCCCTATTTTTTGAATACGGGCACTGAGACCCAGCTGGGCTGAGACTCTCTCAAGGCTACCTCACAGAGTCACCATCCCAGATGCCCACCAGATCACCCGGCCCTCCACAGGTGGCGTGGTTTGAGAGGCTGACATTTACATTTTATGATTTTTTTTAACAGTTCCTATTTTGAATTAAAAAGATCAAAAAATTGGGAGATTACTTTATCATAAGAGGGGAAGTAGATTAGAGACACAGAACAAAGGAGAGGCCAGACACTTCCCTAGGTAAAAGAATGAATGGTGGGAGGGCTTCCTCTGCAGGGGACACCTTACTTAGCATTTTCTGGGAAGAATGAAGAGTGGCATCTCTAGGGTACTCTGGTTTGAGTAGGAGAACGATAAACAAATATTGACAGACTGCAGGACACCTCTGAGTGAGCAGGGGCCATCAGATGACTTTACTCTGGGAGACCCAAGAGATGCAGTCAGGGACTTTGCGCAGGCCTCACCTACAGAGGGGTTGCCTCTCTCTGATCCACCCAGGGAGCTGAGAGACAGCTTCTACTATTCCCAGAAGACACCAAATTGAAAGTCCTCCTTCAGGTTCAGGAAAGCAAGCTTCTGGACACCATTCCCAACTATATCCCAGCTCCTCGTTCAGCACCTGGCACTTTGTAGTAATAAATGCACAATTACAATTAGCTGAATGAGGCAACAATAAGTGGATGGAATGAACGAATGAGGCAAATAAAGTATGTGCCATGTGCAATTTTGGAAGGTACACTTCATGAAGAAAATAATGGTGCTGGATGAAGGAGAAAAAGGGGCAAGGTGAAACGCACAGGGGAGGAGGTGGCCGTGGGCACCAAGAATGAAAAGCCTGGGTGGTGGGCTCAAGGATCTAACTCCCATGTCCAAAAGCTTGTGAGGAGGAAAGTGGCTCTCTGATCCCAGAACGTGAAGATCCCCTTTTCAACCCTCAGAGGCTAAGTATGAGAGAAGCAAAGGGCCTGCCAAGTTCACACAATGCATACATAGCCAGTTTCTAGAACTTGCTGCCTGAGGAGGAAGTAGGAAAGACTGGAAACCAGCTCAGACAGCAGACCCTAAGTCATTATGACCACCGATGCCCCCTCCTCGGAAAGCTATTCAAATATGCTTCTTCAACCTAAGTCATGTTATTTTCTGTTATCCCCCCACCCCATACACTTCCTTTTGGAAAAGATCATGATTTCCATATTTTCAAACTGTTCAGTAAGGAGTAACGTCTATTCTAAAAGTGCCTGCCCTCTAAGCCCCCAAGCCTTATCGTTTTTAGGGCTTGGTCAGCAATCCAACCACAGCCAATGTGCCCTAGAGATCCCTAACTTTGGGTGCTGGCAGTGAGGCTCCTGCACAGGGACAGGAAACCCCCACGGAGGCATGGCCATGGCACCCAGTTCAGTGAGCTACCAGCTAAGTGTTTGTTTTTAAATACTAATTGTTTTTTAGTGACATGCATGTGATTTAAATATGTATATACACACACACACACCCTGAGAAAAGGGTCTGCAATAGAAAGGAAGTTTCTCCTCTATCACAGATTTTTTCTTGGGAGTTATCAACTGTAAACAGTTTCTTGTGTATCTTTTCGGAAATTTTTTAAGCACACATAAGCATAAATGTGAGTTATCTTTCTTTTTTTTTAAAAAAAAAAAAAAGAGCAGAAATCCCATTATCTACACTATTTTGCATCTAGCTTCCTTCCCTTAGCAATGTGTCTGGGAGTTCATTCTACTGTAGCCCTCATAGATGGGCTTCACTCTTTAACAGTTACAGAGTACCAGAGATGCTACACAATTTATTTAACCATTTCCCAATGAAGGATATTTAGGTTGTGCCCAGTTTGTTATTATCATCTAGTTAATGTTTTTAGAATTTATAGGCAGATCTTAATCTACTAGTTAGGGTCTCACTGGTTTTGAAGACAGTGATCCTAATCCCACCTTAATGTTCATACTTCTAAATTAAAACGAACAAAAACAACGCCCTCATTATTCTATTTCAAAAGTCTACACTCAGGAGAAATATTTTCACCCCTTCATTGCTGAAATAAATAGACCCAAACATTAACAGCAGCAGTTTGATCTCATTTTTCTTCAATCCTTTTATTAGGGCTACTAAAATAAAGTACTTTGAATATATACTCTCTCCACTTTCTGGGCAAGATGCTATTAAGTAATGAAAAGACCAAAAGCACGCTGCTAAGAAGGGGTGAGTGTCAGAGCATCAGTTCATCCCAGACGGGAGAGCCCAGGAAGACTCTCCCACAGCTCCGTGGTTCCTGACCTTCAGCAGACGTCCTGGCCTTCCACGCCCCACCTGAACAGCTGCACCACTCATCTCTCAGAAACCAGGAAGCTAAGACATTATCCTAAAAACAATCTGGCTTACTTCAGGTTCAAGAAAATGTTCCACCTTTACTGCTTCCAAAGTTAGGCCACTTTCCCGAGAGTAGTAAACAATGTTCCTAACCCTTTTTTTAAATCATCAATTCACATGGTGTGGAAGCATATTAAGCAAATTTTAAGTACTAAACTGCTAAACACAATTATAAAGTAATCAAAACAAATGCTAAAATATGTATAAGCTCTGTGGCATTTTATATTTGAGCAAAGACTTTAGGAAAAGCAGGTATTTTATATACTGAAATTATCTGACATACAAAAAATATTCAAAACACAATACCTCATCCAGCTCCTGAAGAGATATGTGGTTCCCATCAGTCCCATCCAGTTTGGGAAAGCAAAAGGAAAAATGCATGAGACAGACAGACAGATAAGGCATGGTCAGTTAAGAAAACACTGAGATTTTAAGCAACTCTAAATTGACTAAAAATAAAGATCCACTAACCAAGGCATTTAAAAATATCCCTCTTCTGATTCTTCCTTTTTTAAAAAAAATAAGCTACATCAACATGTTTTTATTTTTATTTACTATGATTGTTGTTTTGGTAAATGAAATGGGAAACAAGCAGTAAATACTTGTAAAATTTAAAATACATTAGAAACATATAAAACACACTTGTTTTAGTTTCACTAAAATATACTGTTAATCTGTTTCACAAATATCAAATATCTTGTATAATACCACTTTGTAAATTTCCCTTAGGAAGATAAAATAAGAGCAAAGATAAAATGTAATTTTACCATGTCGAATAAATGTATATTTTACCATGTAAATCAGCCCTGCGAATGCAACAAAATTAAAAAATGAACAAACCACAAAAATTGTCTATGGCTGTATTCAGATAATATGTGATTGACCACATATGTAAGGTCTGTGCAAATTAAATCCCGCAGACACGGTTTTATCCCTGGTAAGAGAGCTGAGAAACCACTCTTTCCCGGAGAGACACAGGTGGTAAAATAAAAGAAAAACTCTACCATGTGCCTGGTATGTATTATTATTAGTACAGAAAGAGCACATAAAGCTATTATAAAAGCAAGCAAACAAGACAAAACAAAAGGTAAGAAGAAGAGATTTTTTAAAAGGGAGTTGGAAGGGAGAAGCACGGCACCAGAGGGTTAAGTTTCAATTTAAAACTGAAGATTCTTTTCTAGATCAACGTGGAATTCTACCTTCTGAACAGACATTTACTAATGACAGATAATCTAAGCAACTAGCAACTAGGTCTTTGTTTTTACAGTATTGATTACTGAAATAATTAGTGGTGAATTTCAATAATCAACTGTGGTGATTTTTTATGCTTAACAGTAAATTTAGAAAATAAAAAACATAACTTTCCTATTTTAAAAATTAATAGTGCAAATGAAGCTGGTCTATCAGGGCCAAAATATTACTAAGCAATGACAGCAATAAAAATGTAATCAAACAACATTTCTCCATGTAAAAATCCAATTAGATGACATTATAGAAAGCTGAAAATCCTCTTTATTCTTTCTACAGTTTGCTAAGAGCAAAAGGAACTATATTTATATATACATCCTACCATAATAGTAGTGCTACAAGGTATTAACAGAGAAGATAGTGTCAAATGGAAATCTGATCCAATTACCTTTTACATTAAAAAGAAACAAGTCCTTATTTTTTAAAAGCTTACATTTTCAGTAAGAGAACATTGAAATCTTTTATTAATAAAACACAATGTAAGGCAACCCCCCCCTAACTTCACATCTCAATCTTCCTATTCTGTAGTGGCTCCTTGGCATTTAATCTTTGAACAAGTATTACTACAAACCTTCAGTTAAAAATCTCTGCTACACATGAGCTTATCGTTTTGGATTATTAACCGAGCACACACACCCTGATCTTTTTATTTCTATAATTATTAGTCGATAAGAGGTGAAATTAGAATGATGGGATTCTAGAGCTAGAAACAACTCTTTTTCTTTTCTATACTAAGCTTCGAAATGTATAAATGCATTGCCAGAAGCCACAGAGCTAACCGGATGGGGACAGACCTAGGTGTTCAGGCCTCTTTCCACCCCACCTTCCAGCCCCTTTAATTTTATTAACAATTCAAGAAATTATTTGTGATAGGCAGCTACTATCGCACATCAGAAATTAAATTCAAGTCATCTTTTCAAAGAAACCCCCTCCTCCCATTTTGCTATTTAAAAATAGAAGGGTTTTAAAACTCTCCCTGCCACCAAACTACCAGGAAATATCGTCAAGAACTGAATTAAAACATTTAGAATTACCATCAGGAAAGACCAAAACACAGCCAAATGAAAACATGTTACTACACATCATCACCTTCTAAATCTTTATAATGTCTAAATCTAGGTTTTTAACCTGCCAATGGCATGTAATCAAACAAATATTGAAAACTCCAAGTAGCATGTAGAATTTATAGTCTAAAGAACTTTCTACATAAAACTGAAAAATAAGTGGAAACCCATCTGTGTTTACTCAGGAAGTCTGGAAAAGTTGAGCAAAACGAGTTGGAAATACAGGTCTATGCTATAGTGATATTTACTTTATTTCCGTTACTGCCAAAATAAAAGTTTGCTTCACTTTTACCCAACAAAGTACCCTTATTCTCAAGTAAGCCTCACTGCTCAAATGGAATCTTTAAAAGCAGAAAAGCAAATAGATCTAAAGAGAAATATACAATGATTTCATACTTGGATTCTAAAGACAGAGAACTAATTTTCCAACAGACTCAGCCTGGACTCAAACTGAAAACCTTCAATATGCAAGTTAAAATGGACTATATAAGGTTGTAAAGTGAGATAAAGAAAGATGCTAGCCTATTTCAAGACAAAAAAAGTTGTTTTAAACAATAGGTCTTTCCATTTCCCAGGATCTGTAGTACAAGTCCTGGAAAATGCAGCCAGCACCAGAGTGGCCCAGGAGGTGAGCACAGGCCTCTGAAGACAGGTTTGCCAGTGTTGTGAAGACACCAGCACCCCCACCCACCCACCTACCCATTACTGAGTGACCCTGGGCCAGTTTCCCAACTTCTCTAAACCCGTTTCCTTATCTGTATCATGAGAAAAATAATAGCTCCTATTAGATAGGGCACTGTGAGGATGACCTTACTCATGAAAAAGGGCTTAGCCCAGAGCCAGGCACATGATAAGCTCTCAATAAATCTCAGCTAATATTATAGTCAAGACTGAATAAGGTTTCTTATAACCATAGTTAGTTAATCTTTAATTTCTTTCTTTTTTCTAAAGCATATGTTTTATTAAAAATAATGTGCTAGTTTCAAGCTAATCTAAGACCAATTAACTCTAGCTTCCAATTATAGATTAAGCATTATTTTAAAGCAGAGTATAGATTCGGCACTAAACACTAACAAAGCAGCTCCAACCCCTATATTAGATCCATTCCAGAAGTTCAAAAGAAATCATACAAATCCACAAAAGAATTTCATCAGATCAGAACAGAACTCAACATCTACTTTCACTCATTAAGACTTTACAGATTTTTTGAATGATTTCTTTTAACTTCATAAACCCATTCAGCTTCCTAAAGCCAAGCTGCCTTTAATTGCTTGAATGAAGTGCTGTCTTAAAATCTGTACTTGGCCGACAGAATGTCAAAGTTACTTTTGCACAGTATTGGGCTACTTCTAAGGATTTTTGTCAGTAACCTTGGGCTGATAGCCATAACACTGCTGTTGATTATGGACTTCTTTTAAAATTAAAGCTAAGGTCAGGGGAAACAATGCAGTAAAACAGAACTTGAGAGAACATTGTTGGATCGATAGGGTCACTAGAAATCACCTAACTGAAACCCCTCAGTTTACAAATCAGGCAAAAGATGCCCAGAAACATTTAAAACTTGCCTAAAAACACACTCTGAGCCAGGAGCAGAATGGGAGTTAACCCTAAATTTCCAGACTTACAGTCCACTGTTCTTTCCTTTATTTCATGCTGCCCTGAGGCATAAACGTGATGGGGTACCCAAAACTGAGGCCAAAATGTAACAAAGGGAATTCATAAGAAATGCCAACAACTGCATTTTGCTGAAAGTGTAAAATCAAACCCCAGTCTGTTTTTAACAATTAGTTTTACTAATATTAACACAACCAAGAACACAAGTAAATACAATTTTGTTCAGTTCTGGGTGTTGAACTTTAGAAAGGATATAGAAAAACTAAACATCATTCATAGGAAAGAAACCTAGCTATGCAGTCTGAGCTCCGATTGCTGAGCCTAGAAAAAACTCCGGGGAAGAAGGCTGCAGGGTTATCTCTCGGCAGAAGGACGAGGCTTCCTGAATTACAGGCCCTGAGGGACAGAACCAGAACTAGGACCACAGGATGGGAGATACACAGCCCGGGATTCATCAAGGTAATGACTTTTTGGTAGTAAAAACGTGGAGAGACTAGCTGTTGGAATTTCCTATTGCTGTCACAGAATGTGGTCAAGCAAGGCAGGCATGAGGGGTTATCACAAATGGGGACGTTGGGCCAAATGACCTTTAGGTCCCTTCTGGCCCTTGGGATTTTGTGTTTGTTTGGTCACTGTATAGCCTTCTTAAATTCCTGCTTATTTGTAGAGTATCTGCCTGAATGTTGTGCAAACCTGCACGTATATACACATACACACAAACACCCCCCCCCAACAACCAGTCTCTAGTTTTTTTTCCTCAAACAAGGATGTAAAAAATTTGAGTTTAAATTTTTTGAATGATATGGCTTTAGGTGTGCTTACTTTTGAGGTATGTGAGATATACACACATATCACTTTGCAATCAATTTCTGCAAGATTTTCCTCAAATAAGGATGTGAAAATGCAGGATTATAATTTTTAAAAAATCTGCTATTTTAGCTGTGATTTATTTTTATCTGTGTGTGAGATAACAAATACATCAAGATCAACTTCTACAGCTTTTTCTTCTAATTAGAAACTGAAAATTTCAGGTTATAATTTTTAAAATTAAGTTAAACTCTTAGGTTATTTTTTCCTTTTCAATTGCCTGACTTTTAGATATATATTTACAAATTATCTCTCTTTAATTGTTTTACATTACTATAACAAATATATTTAAGTTTTTATTTAAAAATTTTCAAACACAAAGTATGTAAAATGGTATAATGTCCTCCACATATTCATCACTAGACTTACCAATTACTAACGTTTTGCCTTATTTGCTTCCTCTATTTTTTTTGGGAGGGGGGTTAAGTACCTAAGTAATATACTTCTTGATATTTAACTACTAAACATAGTCATGTCTAATAAAATTAACAAATTAACTATAATTAGTTTAAATAATTCCTTATATCACCTAATACCTAGTTCACATTCAAATTCGACAGATATAGTTTTCTTTGATTTGCTACATGGTTTTGAAATTTACAAGTCAGAAACAACAAGGCTTTAAATTTTTTATGAGCTAGATATGCAGTGAAAAGCACTGCATGAGTTATTCAATAGTTTTTAAAAATTGTGTTAGACATGGCTTTCTCCAAAATGTTTATGCTTTTCTAAATTCCAGAAAAGTTGAGAAAATTGTAACCTCTATTTAGTCATGTTAGCATCTTGCTGTATTTGATTTTGTATGTGTGTGTGCAGAAATAGTATCTGTAAAATCATTTGTAAACAAACTGAAGATTTAACAGTTTACCTCTAAACACTTCAGAAATTTATGACATGCCTTGTGTTTTTTAAAGCACACAATTAAAAAATATAAATGTGTGTTTTCTTCTTAAATTCTAACTTAGGCAAATTATTTATGTTTGATTGCAAAATCCATTTTTTAGATAGTGTGAATTGACTACAAGGATATTTTAAATGATCTGATTGCTTTAATAATCTGAGAAAGATTTTTAAATGGTCAGATTAATATAAATATGTAACATTTTCAATGGTATGACTGACATACAGAAAAATATAGAAAATATTTTTTAATGTTCTGACTTAGACATGTATTTTTAGCTGGATTTAGAAATCTATTTTCAAAAAACTGAGTTAGCTAAATGTATATGCACATTTGCTAACATATCTATTTTTCCATACTGCATACTTTAGCTATCCATATTTAATTATTTTACTTAGCTTATGTATTTTTAAAAAATTGCCTGAGTTAGTAAATCATTTTAAAAAGCGATTTGACTCAGAGATGCACTTTTGAAAGCCTTCTCAACTCTCAGACACTAGGTTCTGAAACTGTCTGACTTAATGGTTAAAAAAAAAAAAAATCTCATGTTACCCAAAGGTGTTTTGAACCTTATATGATTAAAATTTAATAAACAAACAATATATTTTTCAATTGAAACTGATAACCCTGGAAACATCAACCTTAGTTTTAGTTCTGGTTCCCCCCCCTTGATTTTAAGTAGCATGAAATCAAGTCAATAAGGAATACGCAGTTCTGATTTAACATAACTAAAGTTCCATTGAGGAATTTTATTCATCCAATTTCTACTCTCTTATTTGGTGGCTTATTTCAGGATACTCTTTTCAAAATTAGTACTAGAATTAGCCTGTTTCGGTGCTAACAGATATCTTTACACTTATGTATAATGCCATTTCTTTCAGTTTATAAATGTAAAAAAAATCTCCAAATTCTTAAGTAAATGAAAACCCAAAGACACCCCATCCCTCTTTTCTATGCTTTCCCCCTTGAGTTTACATGCTTTTATTTCTAAAACTGCTTACAGGGCTTAAAATCGCTTTCCTATGATCAATATGGCCAAAGACATTTTCCACTTGTGATTTACTAAAAGGAAAAATTGTCTTTGTAGACGCTGTCTTTGTAGACATGTCGATAATCATGACACATGGCATAATTTTTCTAAAGCATTTAGTTAAAATCATAAAGAAAAAAATTAAAAGGCAATACAGTTCCTAAGAGGTGAGGTAAGTGTGGGATTTCTAAAACTGTATATTGCAACCATAATCCCCAAGAATCTGGTTTTGGGATGACTATTCCCTCATGCTCCAGTGCTGCGTCTATTCAAACCTTGCCTGTCTACAGCAGGTAGCCTCCTGCAACAACTAGTTTCATAACTTCACTCTTCAGTTAAAGATATTACAGAGCTCATAATCACTGTCTTGTACAGGTCATCCAGACTTGCCCCCTATTTAACAGAGCAGTAAACTGAGTCTCAGAAAGGGAAAGTTAGCCTCCATTAAAAAAAACAAAAAACCAGGACCTCCCTAAAAAACTCTACTGCTAGACTAAAAGGTTCTGGTTAACAAAATAAAAAAATATATCCTATTTTGGGGGCTTAATTTTCACATACACATTATGTTTTTTAAAAAAGTTCGAATGGAGAGGAAAGCTTAATTTCCTGTCTGGGAAATGGAAAACGAAGAGCCTAGCACCTTACATTCTCACGAACACAAGCCCCCAGGAAAAACAGTGAAGCAATTATTCGTCAGGAACGCGGCCACACAGAGGGCTGCGAGACCATTAAAAGAAAACGGGCAGAAAGGAAAAAAACCAAAACAACACAACTCCTTCCTTTCGAGGGGGAGGGAGTCGTTCATTTGCAAGGATTAAAGTCTGCCATCCACCAACCCAGCCACTAGAGCCAAACTGAGGCTCTCACTATTGAGGGGGGGAGGGGGGATAAAAACAAAACGAAACAAAAAGGCTTCAGAAAGGCACAGCGCTTCCAAATCTTAGTGTTAAAACATATGTAAATTGCAGGCAGCCGGTCGTTCAGTGACGCCGGGAGGGGGGCGGGGGTGCTGCGGAAGTGAGGAGAGAGAGCCAGGCAGAGGTGGAGCGGGGACCTAATACGGTTTTTTCCCCATCCAGGTTTTTAGATGCCCCCTGACCCTAGCCAAGAGACCTTGCACTTCCGTATTAGTCTTATTATTCTTATCTTCTTTTTTTAAACAGAGAGACAGACAGAGACAGACAGACAGGCAGAGCCGCAGTGCACACGGTGCGTGTGTCGGAGAGGCCGCCGGGAGACTCACCGCAGCAATGCTACGTGAATGCAGAGGACTGGAGGTGGTGTGACTACTCACTTGCTCAGCTAACAGCTGCCGGTTTTGGATGGAATTATTCCGCAACAACAAGAAAGCGTCGGTTAAACGCCTGGTGGCCATGTCTCACCCTTTGTGACCCCCCGCTCAGGGGACCCCCACCCACTTATATTCCAGATTTATTCACTTTCTTGCTCTTGGCTTCGCCAGCCCACCCTTTCACAGAAACCTCTCCTGATAAGGCCTTAGGCTTCAAGCCAAAAAGGCAGCAGCTTTGCGCTTCGACAAAGCGCAAAGACCCCTCCCCAAATAACCACCTAGGCTTTCCAATTGTCTAATCCCCCTACCCAAGACCTGCCTTCGATCTCTAAGCACTTGAATCCCCCCAATCCTTGCTTAGCAAGCAAACGTGCCAGAGACCCCTCCCCAATCCAACCTTGGATCTACAAGCGTCTAACTCGCCAATCCGGCTCTGGACTGGGAGGCTCTGAAGCCCCCTACTCTCCTTAGTGTCTTAGAACCTCGAAGGTCTTTTTCCCTTATCCCTAACTTGGTTCTTAAGCGTCTGGGCCGTGCCCTGAGGCCTGGCTCTGACTCAAGTTTCCCCACCAGAGGCCTAACTTAGGCCCTCTTTGGACAACCTGAGCCAGGCCAGGGCCCTGAACTTTTTAGGGTGCCTGCTGCTTCCTTCTTGGGCCTTGTCTGAGCCTGCTAAGGCCCGACCTCCTGACCCCTTCCTTTCCTGGGCGGCCTGGTCCTTCACTGCCAGCAGGCTGCAGGCCTCCAGGAGGACAGCAGGGCCTGCCTCCCCGACTTTCTCACTCCTCTTCTCCGTCTCCCTCCATCCCGGGATCAGCCTGCAGTTCAGTCCCAGGCCGTTTCCGTGCTACGGTCCCGAGTTCTGGCGTTCCCCCCGGCCCTCTTCCTGTCCGTCCCTCGCGAGTGCCCCCCTGCGACGCTCACAAGCCTTGCTAGCAACGTTCCGGGCGCAGGAGCTCCCTGCCCCTCTGCCCCGGGACAAGGGAGCGCTCCGCCCTCTCCAGGGGTGCTCCTGGGGCGCTCCGTTTCCCCTTCCCCAACTGGGCCCAGGCACGGGGAACAGGCGAACGGGCCGGCCCGAGCCTCGGGAGCGTGGCCCCTAAGCTCCAAACCGCTGCCAGGGGCCTTGGCGCCTTTATTAGAGTGGAAGTTGTGCGGCAGGCAAATTTGGGCTCTTTTGAGAAAGTTTTGGGCGCGGGGAGTTAGGGCGGGAGAGGAAAAGTTGGAGACGACTGCCTCTGCAGGCCAAGCACGCTCCACTGCAGGCGGCGGCTCGCGCGCTCGCTTTTTTTTTTTTTTTTTTTTTCCTTTTTTTTTTTTTTAACTCTGAAAAAAAGATGTATCCGAAAAACAACCAGGAAAAAAAAAAAAAGGAAGCTTGAGCTCCAGGCCGCCGCGGCCGTGCAGCCGCCAACAGCCGGGGGTCGTGAGGGGCGCCCGCCCTCCCCAGCTGCCGCTTTCTGTAGGGGGCACTGCAGGGTTGTGGAATCTCAAGTGGAAAAGTTCCCCGAAAACTTTGACGCCCCCCACCCCCCAATAAACTTTGTCCTCTCCCTGGGCCCATGCGCCCGCATGCTGGGCCCTGGCCCCGCGCCCCCCGTGTCCCCGGCCTGGTCTCCCGCGACTGGCCTGGTCTGGGGGCAGCCAGCGCACTCCGACGCGCCGCCCGGGGCCCGGCCCGGCGGGATTCGAACATGGGCCCCGCGGGGCCGCGTGGGGCTCCAGCCGCTCTGGCGGGCGCGCGGCGACCAGGGACAGACGTCCACCCAGCCGAGGTCAGCGTCCGGCCCGCAGCCACCGCGAGGCCTGAGCCTCAGGGGGTCGGCACGGCACAGCGCGCCCGCCCGAGCGGTAGGGGTCGCGGGGAGGGCCGGCCGCATGTCACGGCCCCGGGCCTGGCAGGGCCGGCTTCCCGCGTCTCGGGCGAGCGCGGGGCCGCGGACCGGGCTCCCGGGACTGGGGTTTTAACAAAGGGACGTCGCCCTGCAGCCCCCCGAGTGGGCCTCGAGCCTGCCTTTGTTTCTGCATCGAACAAACTTCACACACACGTGTGCTCCTGGCGTCCCCGTGTGCCGAGCGCGGGGCTGGCGAAGCGGGGCGCACACGCAGAGACCTCAGGCCAGGTCCGGGCCTGCCGAGGACGCCGGCGGACAGCGGCCCCCGCGGGGCGCAGGCGGGACCCAGGGCGCTGGGGAAAGAGCCAGTGACCCCACCACCGCCACCACCATGTGCTTTTTCTCTAACGGAGAATGTTGTTGTGCAACTCACAATTAATGTGAACAATTTCTTTGAGGCAAATGGCAAAATGCATAAAATAAAATAAATTAAAATAAAATAAAACGAACCGAGAGCGCTGGCGAGCGGCGCCGGGCGAGTTAATTGCGTGGACTGGCTGCGGCTGCCGCGCCGCCGGAGCTGGGCGCTCGCTCGGGGACCTCGCGGCTGCAGAGCCGCTCGGCCGGACCGAACCTCGGCGCGAGCAGCCGCGGCAGCCGGCGATCACCCGGGCCGCGCGGGGGCTGCAGGGGTGTGTGGACGGCCCTCCAAAGACAGAGACCCCGTGGGGGGAAATTTGGGGAGCCCGTGTACCCCGTGGGGGGAATTCGGGGGGGCCCGTGTGTGGGCCCCCTGGGTTCAGCGCGACACCCCGGGAAAAATGTGCCGAATGAGGGAGAGTTTTGTCCCCACACCACAGCCGACTCCTCCACCTCTGTGAGATCTGACCCCAGGCACACGGCCAAGCCCCTTCCTCCCCCCGCCCCCCCTTGGAGGACAGGTATTTGTCAATAACAACTGAGCTGGTTTGCGGTGAGAACATCAGATTAGAAACGTGGCCCCCACTCTGTTCCTTTCTCTGGAGCACTCATCACCTTGCAAAGCAGGGACTTGTTTACTTCTCCAGGCTCTCTCCCCCAGCCTGGAACGTGATCTTCTTCCCACGCAGACACCGTGTTTTATTCATCTTTCTACCCACTGCCATCTCGTCTGGCTTGGAACAGGCTTCGGATAAATGTTTCTGAAATATGTTCATGAATGAATTAGAGGCCCGAGATTTAGTCCCCAAACTCTCTGACCTCCCTTGAGTGACTTTAAGCCTTTAGAGTACTTATCTGTTGAGAAAGAAAAAAAAATGTGGGGTTTTCATAATCCTTGTAATCCATGCCCTGTCTACCTCTCAGGTGTTATTGTGAAGATCAAATAAGATAAGTGAAAACACTTTGTAAACTACCAGGTGCTGAACAAATATCATACAGGATGGTTATTCATTCATTCCCTCTGTTCGGGAAGCTTAACCAAGTAATTCCTGGTCCTGTGTTTCAGCAGATGGTGGTCGCCCTTCCTGGTCAGTCTTAAATATTTATTGCAGGACAATCTCATTCTTACATTTAGGAAATCAATCAAGCTTCCATTTCTTTGAGCAAAATGAACAGTGCTTACACACATAAATAATGGGAGAAAAATCCTCATATTCCCAAAACAGCCACCACCCCCAAATAACCCAACAGCCCAACAGCAGGGAGATCATGAAAAATCCAAGAGATTGGCATAGCAACCCACAGGCAGCACCGTGCAGCTATAAGCTGGCTGGGTCCAAGCATGCGATCATGTGCAGGAAATGGTGTTAAGTGAGAAGAAGGGAGCCTGAGAGGGCATGCACACTGGCTGCGGTCATGTCCTGACCCACATTGGAAGGGAGCTGGGGAAGGATGTAAATCATTACATTTGAATGTTCCTTGGCTGTTTTATTTTCCTGTCAAGTGGCTTAAGCTTGATTTTTTTTTTTTAAAGCATTCCCTCATGGCCAAGTATGTGTTTCCTTGGAATTGAAATCTAGGTTGATGGTTTTATATTTTAAAAGCTTTCATTGTGACTCATTCTTGGCCTGGGATAGGGTTCTGTGATACTCCCGAAGCTTAAAGAGCCCCGGTGTCCGGTTTCTTGGGCTCTGTACCCACTTTCTAACATTTTGCCAATGGATCCAAGAAGTCACTTTTGGGGACAAGTGTTTCATTGTCTTCTTGTCATCCTAATCAGAAGGGAACTCCAGTGAAGCCAGGCCATGGCAGGGCCGGGGCAGGGGCAGGCTTTTTACATGCTGAGAGGGTAGTGATTAGACAAAACAGTTGGCAGCGGGTCATTCATACTCTTCAGTGAAGAAGTTTAAAGGAGACAGGACTTGTGAGGCCCTCATAAGGGCTCAGCTTAGAGTGAGCACTGCTCAAACAGGCAACGTGATTCACGACAGCAGCAGTCTTGCTGTTGGAAAGCTCACATGGGCTCAACTCTCCCTGGAAGGCATCACAGACTCCAAAGAGGAGGGCATGGTAGAGGGAACTGAACACTATCTAGGCACATTTTCGAGACTCTTGTTCCATGGTGTGAGAATCCCATGTGTCTGCAAGGTACTGTCATGTGAAAGAGGAGCTTAAACAGTCTCAAATGGACACCTTTTAGCTTTGGCCTTTCTAGCACCTGTAGAGAGACAGATGGTCATTCTTTTATCACGATGAGCAGCAAATGCCCCCAAGCCTAATAGATGTCTCATTTGCACAGATCTGACATAACAGGCAGGTTAGGGCCAGGTTCAGGTAACAGGAGCTTTGCATTCTGTCTCATTTAATATTTCCTCAACACCTTGAGTCTTTCCAACCTCAGAAAACTCCCCATCTCTGTCTGTCTGCAGCCGTGACGCTTCTCCCAAGCAGGGGGACTCTGGAGAGAGGAAACAGTTTTGTTTTGTCCAGACTCCATTAGCTTTTACACCAGACAGTAGGCGTTCTGAAAACCTACCAGTGGCTATGCCTGTCTCTTGCCCAGCTCTGCTAAAAAGGATGAAACAGAGAAAAACTCCTGCCTTCGGGGAATTTGCATCTCTGCTGCTTCTGCCCAGATTCGGCTTCTCGTCATGTACATTTTTCCAACAGCCTCCTAACAACCACCCATCTCTTCCCGCTTCATCCTGCAGCCGCAGTGACCTTTCCAAAGCACAAATCTGATCATGTCACTGCCTGATTGAGGCCCTGAAACAGCTCCCTCTGGCCCACACCAGCCGATTTCAAATGATGCTCGGCAGAAAACAGGTGCTCTCTAAGCTGAACCAAGCTGGGCCATCACTAATATTAACTAATGACAGTCTTTTCTTGGTTGGCGGAAAAAAATTAAGCTAATTGATGGAATAGTCCCCATCTTAAGTGTTTCTCTGCTCACCTTCTCTTAAGCCTGCAGTCCCTACTACCACTTGGCTGTATTTGAATATAATATGAGACTATCTCGGATTGATCCCCAAATCACGAATTTCATTATAATTTTTTTCATGCATCATTATTTCCTGATGTTCAGCATGTGAGTGCTCTATGCTCTTGACAGGGTGGAGTGCCCCCTCTGGGATGAAGGGCTGGCATTCAAAGCCCTGCCCAACAAGCCCCAGCCAAGTAGTGAGCTTTTACCTTCCTATGATGCGGTTCACATGCTTTTCTCTGCTTAGGGTGGAGTCTTCCCCCTTCTGCTTGGTGAACTCTTCCTCCAAGACTTGGCACCACCCACCGTCTGGTATAGGAAATGTTTGTGGAATAGATGCATAGGTGGGTTGTTACACAAAAAGATGAGATTAAATATATCAAGCACCACAGAATACCAGACAGTGAAGACTCAATGTGGGTGTCCTGGGCAGAGAGTATGGCGGTCCTCTCTGCTCCTCACTCAGTGTTCTTCAGCCACACTGGCCTTCTTAGCATTTGCTGTCCCCTCCTTCCTGGGTGCTTCATGTGACTGGCTCTTTCTCATGACGACTGTCTCAGACCACTTCATACAAAGTAGCCCTCCTACCTTGTC